AGAGAAGGCGCCTGAATGCAGTCTTCCAGGGCAGAGGGGGTAGATTTATTCTGCAAAGCTCCCGAGGGCAGGACAGGAGCCGACCGGTGGAAGCTTTGCAGAGGGAGACCCAGACTTGCAATAAGGAGCCAGTTCCTGAGCATGGCAGCTATTAAGCAGTGGAACAGTTTGCCTCCTGAAGTTATGGGACTGGGGTGGATCTGAGGATTACTGCCTAGGCAGGGGATGGTGGAAGACCTCCAAGGCTAACCCTAAGATTCAAAGTACAACTTGGTCCTTTCTGGCATTCTTGCCCAGGACAGAAAGCAGCTAAGGCAGTGGTTCTTAAACTGAGGGTCATTTGGGCATATCCTGGGGGTAAGGGAGCAATTAGTAATTGCTTATTTGTGAGTGAAGGATCCAGCTTGCGACTGTTGCTGCTGAGACGCTTTTGTAAAATAACAGAGTCTGGGTTTTTTGGGCTGGGGTTATGTTATTTGAGACCAGGAAAAGGAGTGACAGGGTCACACAGTTTAAGAGCTCTGCTGTTTCTACAGATGAAGCTGGGGAGGATTTTCTGGAATTACTGCAGCTCCTCCTGTTGTGCGGGCGCACTTACATGCCTCTGCTGATGGGACAGGAGGAATTCCACATCAGTCTCTCCCAAGGGGTGGTGTTGCGCCATCACTGGATCGACCCTTTTGTCCAGTCCCTCAAGGAACGCTTGGCTTCCTTCCACAGGTGAGGCCCGTGGGCCACACAGGCGGTGAGTTCCTGTTGTGTGTGATGCCTGCCTAACAGGCTGCATTTGGGGAGGTTGTTCATAGGACAGGTGGGCTTCTGACAGGAGCAGGTAAGGCAGTTCAGGAGCAGGTAAGACAGGGAAGGCAGAAGCAGAGGCCCATTCAGGTGTGTGGTAAACAGCCAGTTGGAGAGAAGGAAAGCATGCCCAAAAACCAGCAGGAGGGGATGCCTGCTGTCACTGCAAGCAGTGGCACTTTCCCTCTACGTTCACAAAAGAGCAGGACAACGATGATGCAAAGTGTGTTACGTGTTTGTGGGGCCAGAAGTTTCTGCTTTTTTCCTGTGCTTTGCATGGGCCTTTCTGAGGGAAAGATTCCTGTTTTTGTTTAAAAGAAATGTGTTACATCTATGAATAGTTTTTTGTGTTTCGTGCCTCAAAATGGTAGAAAGGCACACTGCTAATTGTCACCAGTTGTGACAAGAGAGCAAAAAAATCATGGAGCTGCTTGCTATTGTAGTGGCTCAATTCCCCTCCTCGCTGAACTTACAGACGCTCGTGCTCAGCAGGTCATGATGCCCGAGAGCCACCTGTTCTTAAGGAGTCCTCGGTTGTATTCCCCCCATGTGGAAATTGGCAATCTGGGGGTCAGGGATGCTTCTGGAATTTTGATAATATGTAGGGGGTACCCTTGGGATGGTGTGGCCAGCATGACCAAGTTGCTGTTTACCATGCAGCAGACACACTGCCAGAATGTCACCTGCTATCCCAGCAGGGCTCTGGGGGCCCAAGGTGTTGCTGCAGATAAATGTGATGCTGGAGGCTGGTGATTTGCTTTGCAACACGCAGGCTTCCATCACCATCATTAACTGTGATGATCATCTTTAAAAAGGTCAGAAGAGCATCTGCCTCTCACATCCCCAAATCTTAGCATACAAGGCATGAGGAAAAAATAGCCCTGTTACTAAATTAGCATAACTGAGTTGGGTTTGAAGCTTGGGAGCATCACCAGGAAGTCATGGAGAACCAAAGAAGCAGTTGTGGCCTGGAGTTCTTTTGTTTCTGCCTTTCATTTCCCAGATTAGATGGATTCTCTGCCATGTTTCAGGTTCATCTGCAGAGCAGATCAAGTGAAGGTTTATACCAACCAGACCAAAACCAGGTGGGTGAATGACTGTAGATCTCCCCCTCAAAGAGCCATGGATAGTATTGTGTTGTGGGCTAGAAATTAAAAAAAATAATAATCTGCTATTAGTGTGGGAACATTGCTTCAGTTGCATTAGCAAAATATTTCTGGAGGGTGAAGAGGGAGACCAGAGGACGTGCTGAGAGAGGGCAGACACGTGTGGTCTCTGTCAGGCAGAGTGGAGGTATGAGTACGTTCCACACCAAAAATACACACCAGTGTTAGAGAGATTTAACGAATCCAATGTCTTTATCTTGTTCTCCAAATAAAGCCAGTCAGAAGTTATAAACAATATGTTTGTTTATTGAGGAAAATAAAACTACATAAAATCGCTTCTTCTCATTTATGTGGCATCCAAGACTTAAAAAAAACTTATCCAATACACAAGTTCAACTCCAAAGTCTTTAGCCAAAAACTCGCAGAGAAGAGGCAGACTACTTAGGTATTAGTTACGACTACATAACCTATAAAATGATTACATGATGACTAAAACCTACTAGCCCTGAAGCATACACTCACCCACAATTTATTGACACTATGCACCTCCCCTTAGGTAACTAGCATGAAGATGCCAATAGGTGGGAGTACATAGCAGCATACGTGCAAACTCGAAGGCTGATACAGGTGGCGTGACTTCTGCAGCCATAACAATTTGTTTGAAGATAAGCGATTTGCTCTTCTTCCCATGAGAACATCCTAACAGTCTCAGCACTTTCAGTGTGCACTTTCCTACTCCAGGACAGTACCTGGTCCCATTTTGTCTACAACCGTTAAGATTCCAAATTCTTTGGTGCCTGAATGGATGTGCCTCTGTCCTGAAGAGAACTGAAGTTGGCCTCCAGCCAGAGTATAAGAGGCTGCCATCACTGGCAGAGGGAAAGGAGCTTTCTTGGAAATGTCTGTACAAATCAGCCCTCCACCGAACAGACTGGGGTGAGGGGCATCTGTTAACCTTAACAAGAACAACTCCCCTTGCAGTTCCAGGCACAGCATATTCCACCAGCCCCAAATTTTTCCCTGAGCCTCCCCTCCCTTCCTTTCAGCCACTGCCAATGTCCAGGGCGTCCTTGCTCAGCCGATTTTCTCCATTAAATCCTCCCTTGCTAATGCAGATGGTGCTTCTTTAATAAAGTCGTCTTTTTACCTAAAAGTGATTTTTAGTTTTATGCTACCCCTTCCTTTTCCTCTGAAAAGGAAAAGTTTGGCATCACATGAAGGAGAACCTTCTCTCAGTTTTCTCCCAGTGCCCCTTCACTTAGTTTTGGGAATAGAATGGTCATCATGCAAGATGCTGACTGTGGAAGAGCCGCTGCAAGTTATTCTCTAAAACTCTTGCAGGACCTTTGTTGGCTTAGAGGTCTCTTCCGGACATTCTCAAATCCTGGAGTTGGTTTCAGAAGTGGATCAAGTTATGGAGGAATTTAACCTAATGCCTTTTTACAAGGTGAGGCTTGCAGTTTTCTCAGGGAAGATGGAAAGGGAAGAAGTTACTGCTCTAGAACGAAGTCTCTGGGGGAAGCTGAACAGTAAATGTCAAATAATCAAATAGCTATTTAAATGCACTTCCAGCAGCTACATTCCTCTTGTTCCCCTTCACTGTGCTTTGAGGAGTCATTATTCAGTTAGCAATATTTGATTCTTTTACCCCTCTTTTTTTATGAATTCTGAATTATGTTGGAATGCAGAATAAAAGATACGGCTCTAGTTTGCTATAATTGAAATGTTGGCAGTCAATTCTCTGAGCCTGGGGTGGTCATTCTCTGCTTGTGCTTGGCTATGCTGGTGGACCTTCCTCTGATCTTGGCCACTGACTGTTGTTCACAGGATCCCTCGTTCCACCTCAGCCTCGCCTGGTGTGTGGGGAACATGTCGGAAGCACTTGAAGGCAAATGTATTCAGGAGTTGCAGGTAACCAGACTGGAAGCCTTTAGCAGAGGTACACAAAACCTGTTGGGCCTCCACACAAGTCATTCTGACCATATCAGGAGTGCCCCATTTTTGAAATGGACTTGTTTCAAGCTTGAGACAAGTTCAAGGTGGGTCTGTGTTAAGCTCAGATCTCTACCAGTAAGGATGGAAGATCCTGTTTGTTTACCTTTCTTTCGTGGGGCCTGGAGTGGGTTTAAAGACCCAGCAGGCTTTGAGGGCTACAGTGGAAGACAGTGACATGCATTGATTGGCTTTATAAAATCTTTGCATTTCTTGACACACCTTTTCAACTTGCAGCTATGCCAAGGTAGCACATTGTGATGATAAAACATGCCCAGCATTTTCCCATCATAGGAAATTTCCAAGAGACTGGCCCTCTTTTAATTGTTTTAGTGGTGGAAGGCTGAACAGGGTACTGGGATGGAAGCACATGTGAAGAAGGTTCCTGGTATCTGCAGGGAAAGGCTTTAAACAACTTGGAATGAGGTTGGGGACCAGTTGACAGCCAAAGAACTGAGCAAAGCCAGCAGGCAAAAGGTGGTTCTGAAAAATTCTGCTATGCTGTTCCCGGGGCTTGTCATATCTTAATTTACCTTCCTATTGTTGCAGGAGATTGTGGATGGATTTGAGGACTCTTCATACTTTCTGCGAATCCCTGGGACTGAAGTCCGTTGCAAATCTGGCAATAAGATTTTCTCATTCCCTCTGCGATAGAAGCCCAGGAACAATAATCAGCCAGCTTGGGATGGGCACGATCAGCCCTTTTCCAAACATGGTCAGAGGCGCCGCTGCATTCGCATTCGGCGCAGCAGCAGCAACCCTTCCAACGAGCACATTTCAGGACCACGGCCCTCCAGACCTCTGCCAGTCCAGGTCCTACCGAATGTGCTTCCATTTCATTCCACTCCAATTCTCAGCTGCCTGGGGAAGCTGCACATCTGTCTCTCCAAATGTGGGAGAGAGCCAGGTCAGGTCTTCCTCAAGCTGCAGGACTTTGTCTTGTCGGAGGCTCATCTGGAGGATGACAGGCTGTGGGTGGGACGCCTTGGACATGTCTGTCCTTAACGCGAGACACCTGGCCTGTCAGCACTCCTGCTGGCGTCCGGCCCTTCCGAGGGTGAACCACAGTTAAAATGAAGAAAAGGAGAGACAATTTTCTTCATGGTCCATTTCAGAAACTTTGTGGCTTTCTTTTAATGGGCTATATTTATTTTGTCAAACCACCACACTAGTCAGTGCTGGCTTTCTAAAGCCTCTGGAAGCCCATGTGCTGGTCAAGAGTGTCCCATCTCCCCCAGGCAGCCCTGCTCTGCGTTCCCCCAAGCCCCAAGATTCCAAATTGGGGGGGGGGGAAATATGGCTATTAAAATGGTTTACGGACAGAGGTACTTACCGGAGGAAGCAATGGCCATCTGCAAAGCTTCCAGCTAAGGGAGCACTGGTGTGACTGCTCTTTTAGAAAAAACAAATATTTGTGTTCTTGCATCTTTTGCTCAGCAGTGAAGGGGCCAGGCCCAACCTGTTGATGCAACTCTGGAAGGGTATAAAGCTTGGTGTTGTGCCTTGATGCATAATCAAGAAGTTTGTTTACAGAGCTTTGATTGTAGAGAAACATTAGCCTGGCTCTGTATACAACTACAGATAAAGCATGTGGTGGTTATGAGGTTGGCCAAGCCTATCTTTGTGCCCAGAAGGGTTCCATGGTTAACGCAGAACAGGAAGAAAAGAACCAAATGCCAGCTAAGTGCATTCTCTGCCTTGATATGATTTATACTCAGTTTAAAGAGGAAAGAAACATCCAAAGGAAAAGTGAGGAAAACGTGATGTGGATTAGGTCTTGACTCTGCTTCCAAGCAGCTGTTTGGAATCGAACCCTTTTGCGGGCACCAAGCCTTGGGCTGCACGTGTAAGAATAATTGGGAAGGTGCTAGGTCAGGCGCTGGCTCATCTCTCTCACCTCTGGGGCGTATTTTTTTTTTTTTTTTAATTT